TTGGGGGGCAACAGGGGAGGGACGGTTGGGGGTGGGAAGTTGGGGAGAGATAGCAAGGGGAGAGATGCCAGATGTGGGTGATGGGGAGGAAGGCAGCAGATCACACTGCCACGTGTGTACCTATGCAACAATCTTGCATGTTCTTAACATGTACCCCAAAACCTAGAATGCAATAAAATAAATGGAAAAAAAATTAAAAAAATAAAAAAATTTAAAAAAAGAAAAATGTAAGAGTGTTGTAGTTATTAACACTGTGTCTGTTAAACAAAATTATTTTTAAAGTGTCAACATATAAAATATATATTAATATAATGATAAATTAGTATGTTTTTATTTACTTTTGAGTCAAAAATAAGAGTATGTCCTCTCTTTATATATGTTAATAAAATATTTGGCATATATTAATATTAATAATTAATATCATAACATCAATAATTTTCTGACAGCAGATATTACACAAGATATCGGATCAAAATTCCTTAAAGTTATGCCAAAATATGCATTTTTAAAACTGCAGTCTCATTAGTTTCTTTGTATCTTTGGTTAGCATCGAATTTCAAATACCCAAATATAAGTTTTCTCCTTAGGAATAGAACCTCCAATTTTGGGCTAGACAGATGACCAACTAGAATAAGGACTTCCCTTGCAGATAGGATAGACATGTGACTACATTCAAGCCAATGAAATGCCAAGTTGAAGTGGTATGCACACCTTCTGGTACATGTCCTTCAAGACAAGAGATATCCCTTTCCTTGTGTTTCTGTCTTCCTGCTGTCACAACAGTGAATTGGAGCGAAAGTAGCTGTCCTAGGCGCTGGAGTATCAGCTAAGGATGGGTAAGTAACATAGCAGATAATCCTGAGAACTTGATGGTACCAAGACTTCTCTGGTTACCTTTGTTGGGAGCCGTTTCTACTTAGTGATAGAAAAATAAACCCAAACTGGGTTGTTTGGAAGCGGAAGTGGTTGCCCAAAAGCAGCAGTGAGGAGTGTAAGTTACTCTTTCTAAAAGCTTCACAGTGAAGCAAGGGAGATGAGGCGAAGTAGTTTGTGGAAGGTCAAGATTGAGAGAGGGACGACCCTTTCTGGGGGCAATGCAGAACAGTGGAGAATCTGGAATGTTTATACTCTGAGCTCAAGAGAGAATTACCTGGGAAGAGAGGGAAAATTGAACAAATGTTTGGAACAAAACCTAAGAAGGGCTGTGAGGGAATAGAATCAAAAGCAAACAGGGAAGAGACTAATCTCCTGTGGCAGAAGGGAAGAATAAATAGAGATAAAGACACATTTGACTTAACACCTAGGTGATGGGTTGATCCGTGCAGCAAACCACCATGGCACACGTTTACCTATGTAACAAACCTGCACATCCTGCACATGTACCCCGGAACCTAAAATAAAAGTTGAAGGAAAAAAAGGCACATTTGAAAGTTCAGGGTAAGTAAATTAAGGATTCAGTAGGCTCTATTTTTCCCAAAACTTGAGAAGCAATGCTAGTCTTAAGAATGAAGAAAGTAGTCAAGGTTTGAATAATCCTTGAGGGATTTGAAAAAACAAGCAAACAGCAAAAAAGAAAAAAAAAAACAAAACATTCTCAAGTGTTCCCGAAGTCTCACCTGAAGTTGGGCATAAGAATTTGTCATTTCCCAGTGAGCAAAGCAAAACGACCTCCTTCAGCAGTGCTTCGCAGCTTAGAAATCTGACACCGTCAGAATGACTCATTAGGCTGCTGTAGAATAGACTATTTGCAAGGCTTATGCAGCAGAAGATCAAAGGGTTGGTGGAAATGAGTGTGTTGATGACAGTGTGGTGGAAATAATAAACCGTGAAGTCCAGACAAGTTAGGAAATACATTGAAATAAGAAGGGACTGAGAGTCTGATTCAATAGAGATAAGGGAAGGAGATTAGGCTTGGGCACATTGACAATGAGCAGAGCCGGAGTGAAGACATGGTGGTGGCAATGGAAAGAGGGAACCTGGCGGTCCACAGGGAAGGTCACGCAGAATACGGGAGGTCAGAGGTGGAGCGGAGAGGCCAAGGGGTGGCTGCAAATGAAGTTACAGCAGAGAAGGGGGGAAAGTGATCAGAGGAGAGGGGATCAAATGACTGTGAAGCTGGGAAGTGAAGTGCCTCATCCAAATGAAAGTTGAAATCACCCGCGGTTTTGGAAAGAAAAGACTTAGAAGAGAAAACAGATCCAGAGTCCAGCCTCGTTCCAGAGGCTATGGCTATAAACCCAAAACTCATGGCATAGAGACAAGCAGTCATTAGAAATAAGAGGTCAGCCCAACCAACTAAAGGGATGCTTCTTGTCAGTATCACCTAGGACTTTTCACAAATGTAAAACCCACAAAATGTGCACAGTTAGGTCTGCATTAAAGTAATTTTTAGAAAAATATTTTATTACTATTAAGTCACCGTGAGTGAGAGATGTTGAGTTCTCACTGTTATTATTGTTTTCCTAATAATAATATCTTAGTAGTTAGGACAGAACTATGCAAGACCAAGGTAGTATTGATTTTTTACTTTTTCTCTTGTTCCAGTAGAGGGCACTCAAAGCTCAAATAAATGCATGCAATCATTTTTATAGCAATTGTTGTTTTATATAATTAAAACTCATCTTTAAATGAAAAAGAGAACATCTAATTTAATAAAACTTAATTACTAGTCATGCATGTAAATTTTACTAAAATGAGATGAGATCTTATAAGTGTCTAAATGAGGACATGCCTCCCCAGACACACTTCTTTCATTTTCACTCAGCACACACTGAAAGCGGAAAGGAAATTCTCTTGTCTAAGAAGCAAGTTGGGCTTTCTAAACAAAAAGTTGGGCTTTCTAAAGGTGGCCACAGACACTTAATCCTCAAGTTCTATTTTCATTCCCATCTGGACTTCTTGGAGAAGGATTTTGAATAAACTGGAAAATAATCCTGTGGAGGTACTGGACAAATATCCTTCAATGGAAAACATCTGAGATAGAGTTAATAAGACAGAAATGACATTGGAACTAGAGAGGCCACCCTCTGAATTATGGACAACCAATGAATGAGATGGTTAATCCTGAGGTTGCAGTCACTAGGCACAGTCCAAAGAAGTTCTCAGGAAAGTTTCAAGAAGACCTTGTGTTTTAGAGAGTTGTGAAAATGCAAGTACTGTTAGTGCTTGAGGGAAGACTATCTTCCAAGCATAAGATTAACTCTGTGTGGCTTTGCTTGCCATGTGGCAGAATGATAGTGGAAGATGTGAACAGTGACAACATTGTTGTCAACATTTCACCCAAGATTCTCCTAGAGGAAGTAAGCCCTGGGGTCAAATAATTTTATAATATGTCTTTGCCGTGATGGGACTCCTATGACCCAAACATGGCAGCTTTTCCAAACACAGAGGACATTTCGGTTTGGATTTACTTTTTATGTTGGAGTAACGATTATTTGCAGGGAGCAAGTGGGAATCGTGCCAGCATCCCTCAATAACGGTGATCCATCAACATGAATTCATTTCTTTGGTCGAGTTCAGGATGCTACAGGGAAGAGAAGACTGTCTTCAAAAAAGTCTTTTTTGGCAAGGATGGCAGCCCTGGCATTATAAAGAGAATGTTATGACTTATTTATAACAGATTTTTTTTT